TAATTATGTTAAATCAGAGGGTGTTTTAAATTAATGTCCAGGCATCTCTACTTTTCTTATAGGATTTTAGCAAGCAACAGATCACACATCGTCAAGCTCCCACTCAACAAGGTAGGTGGGTTAAAAACACTCACAGGCTAAAAGTCATTGAAAGACTCGTTTAGGAAAAAATATGTACAAAAATAGAACAGGACAAAAATTTTATTATTAGAATGAAGTTATTATTGCAATAGTAACTATTATTATTATTAGTAGTAGTAATAGTAGTAGTAGTAGTAATAATAATTATTGTGACTAATAATTATTATTATTGTTGGTAATAATAATGTTACTACTACTAATAATAATTGTTATTATTATTATTAATATAATAATACTATAATATATTTACATATATAATATTATATATTTAATATAATATTATTGATATATTACCAATATAATATATTAATAATAACATTTAATAAATGTATTACCATAAAAAAATATAATTTTATTAATAAATGTATTAATGTAATAAATGTTAATGCATTTATTCATATTTGTTAATAAATGAATTATTATAGTAATAAACTCATAAATAACAATAAGTTGGGTTTTCTTTATTGACTATAGTGTGTTTTTTGGGGGTTTTTTATCTTTATTTTCTCTGTTCTCTCCTGTGAATCTGTTTTCTCACAGCATCTGAAGTTTATGCGCACACCCCATCAGTTCCTGCTGGTCAGTGCTCCTCCGTCCAAGGAGGTTCGCTTTCAAACTGCCAGGAAATTATACGGCAGCACTTTTGCTTTCCAGTGAGTGAAATCACGTCTCAACGTCACACAATGTTTCAAGATCAGAGCCTGATGATAAAAACGTTCTCTTTGCCTCAGCGGCTCTCACATTGAAAACTGGCACTCCATCTTGAGAAAAGGCTTAATCAATGCGTCGTACACGAAATTACAGGTAAAGTAAGAGAGTATTCAGACCAATCCAGCATCAGAGCCCTGAATCAGACTCTAATCCGTTTGTCTAGAGTTTTGGGGGGAGGTTTGAATGCAAATTTGAATTCCAAAACATCTTTAAACCTCGGTCCGGTTAAGTGGACTTTAAAACGGTAGAAAACCTGTCCGAATGCAACCTGACCAGAGACCGTTTCTCTGCTCTGCGGGTTAACATCAGCACTAAGCAAGGAAAAGCAGGATTTAAATGGTGTGAAATGTTTTACAACTTTTTATCAGCTTCAGCTAGTTTTAGTCGTTTGACACAGTGCAGTGTGAATGCGAACTAGAGTTCTGAAAACAGTTTTAGTCCCCAATCGAACCGAGTCTACCAGACTATCCGGTCTGAATACAATCAAACCGAGTCTATCGGACTATTAGTTCCTTTACAGCTAATGTAAAAAAAAAATTGTTGAGAAACTTATTTTGTTGTTTTGAAGCTTCATGGAGCTGCTTATGGTAAAGGCATCTATCTGAGTCCCATTTCAAACATATCTTTTGAATATTCAGGTAAGAATACATCATACCTTATTACCTTTTAAACAACTTCTTTGTCAATTTTAAAGCTTTCATAAGTCGTTTTTTATTTTCTCCCTGCTTAGACATGGGAAAAGGTCAACACCAAATACCAACCAGAGAGGAACTCAAAAAGAAGTACAGCCGAATAAATAAAATCCAACAGGTCAGATTAATCACATTCTGCACTTTAAGAAAGCATTTCTTGTTTCTTATATCTCTCTTCCTATATATATATTTTGTTTGTTTTAGGAAGAACCAGGACAACTAAGGTTTCTGCAAAGCCGTAATCTGAGCTGCATAGCACTTTGTGAAGGTGAGTATTTAGTCAGTTTCATTTTTCATGTCTCTGTACTTTATGTTGAAACCACATATTTACATTCACTGAATAAAAAGACACATACACATTTTATTCTCAAGTTAAATCAGACCAAACATAGTTAGAATTACCAAGATTATTTCCATTTGCTAAATGCCAGAAAACATTTATTTTTTATTTGTCTGTAATTTTTGAATTTTAAGGAAAGTTGCAACAAAACAAATCTAGAAAATATTCTTGTCAAGTTTTCTAGCATTTAGCAAATAGAACTAATTCTGATCGTTCTAACTGAGGTAAAACAAGTACAGTTTGGTCTGATTTAACTTCAGGCAGTGAGAAAAAATGTATTTAAATATCTGGTTTTAACTGTAAGCAGATTTTACCATTAAATGTCTGTACTTTCTACTTCACTACATTTCTAAAATATGCTACATTCACTTCACGGTCACATTGAGTTGTTTTACTATTTGTTTATTAGTTTGAAAGCAATCAATAACTTATTCAAGTTAAACAGTTTAAAAGAATATTTTGTGTAAAAGTTTTGAAAATAGTGTCTGGAAATTTAAATGTTGTTCACTGTTGATCATTTACAAGGTTGAATAACTGTGGAGTTGATCAAATGTCAGTGTAAACAATAAAAACATGCACTATCTGCTCTATCGTTCATTAAAATAGCACATTATTGATGTAGTAAAGAAAATATAGACACTGTAGGCACACTTAATGATATATAGACCATTACATTAGAGAATACATTCAATTTTTATTTAAATATTTGTAAAAGCAAGTTCTTACTTTCGCTCAAGTAAAAATGTTAGTGTGCCACTTTTATTAGATTGTTGTCAATTTGTACTTTCTCCACCACTGTAGTTTTACGTCTTATCTAACCGAGTTGTCCGTGTGTCTTAGTGATAACCTCAAAGGCTCTTCAGAAGCACGGAAACATTTGGGTTTGTCCGGTGTCCGACCACGTGTGTACACGCTTCCTCTTTGTGTGAGTAAAACACCCAGCAGTGTTTGTTTCCATTTCCCAGCTCAATAAAAAACGATTAATATTGCACCACGGTTTGCTTTGTCCTGGAACAGGTATGAAAACGGTCAGGTGGGAGACGTGCACATCAATACGCAGGATGCAGAAATCCAGAGGGAAATTTTACAAGCAACTGGTTCAAAGCCAAGCTGAGAAAGCCTGAGTGCACACGCCTCCTGGTGAACCGACACACATTTACTGGAAACCAGAATAACTTTAGTATTCAACGGCAAATATTTTATATTTTCACAGTATTTCTTTACTATGTTTGACGGATACTGTTTTTTACTGTTTATTAAAGTTGTTTTTCTTTAACCTAAAAGTTCACTTGCTTGGTCATTATTGTAAAAGACTAGATTGTGTTTAAAGCAAACCATCAAATCTGTAAATACATCACACATTCTTCATTCTTCCTTGAGATGTAATGACATGAGGTTTAGTCTAGTTTAATTTATTTAGGATCCTCATTTAGCTGTTGCTCTTTACAATGGTCCACATGTCATATGAGTTACATCACTAAAACAATTTGGAGAAACTGCATAAAAACAAAATACATGAAAGAAAAAATGACATGTAGTAAAATGTAGTATTGTAGCCCTTCTTTGTTCGTCTCGAATTCACTGAATTTATTCTGACGAGGGAAAATCAAGCCGGTGGTTGACATCTATCCAGCAGCTTCTGCCCGTTTACAGTAATTAAAATCCAGACAATAAACCTAAACAAACCAGAGCCATGGTTCCCAATGAACAGTTAGCAGTTGTAAGATTAAACACAGCTAAAATGCATGGCATTAACTATGACAACGGTCAAAACAAAGCAAAAATACACATGAAACCTTGTGTGTAATTGGATTTATCTAAAGTATATGTCAAAAATATAATACAGGTAAAGAAAACGGAGCTGATTCGAACACAAACGGCAGTCACAGAAAAAAAAGGAGAAGAAAAAAGGGATTGACTAACCGTCAGTTACTGGTTGCTATGGTAAACACCAACTGCCAACTTATGGAGCAAAAAACATGCCAGGAGAAAATAACTTTTTGACTAAACAATAGTTAATTTAAAGAATAAATAAACACATTTTGACAATATTGTTAATTGAAAAGCTGTTATAGAATATTACATTCACTATAAACTATAATAAACTACATTGTCAGTAGTTGACTTAAAAATAAATGCTTTATTTGTCTCTTAACATTTTTACTACCATCAAATATAACATACCTTGGCATTAAATTTCAGATAAACCCCACACTTGGTCATTTGTGTCTCAGAAATCCTTTCGTACTATTTTTTTCCCCCTGTTTTGTGTAGATATCAAAATAAATTGCAGTAGCTTTAAGGTGTGATTGTCCTCGTGTCATTCACTGGGGAAAAAGGAGGTAAATGTGGAGTGGAAAGTATTTTCTGGGTCACCCCAGCAGGCGATGAATTGAAGGGTGAAGAGCTGGGAAGTTGTTTGTAGCCCAAAGGAAGACATTTTTCCTGGACCATATGGGCCTCTAAAGACAGAGAGGAGGAAATTTATCTTCAAAACAGCCAGCCCTATTGTACCGCAGTGTTTTTAATTCTCTCTTTTTATTCCTGGAGTTCATTATCAGCCAAACCGCAGCATAAGAATGTCAGATGAAACGATCAAGTCCAAATCTGAGAAAACAAAAGAATTGTTTCAACTACACGCTTCGTTAAATCTCATTAACTCATATTCAGTCATCCGTGTTTCTCAAACAACTACACACAGATAAAGTCTCGAAAGCATTTCACAAAATATTTTTTTTAAAAACTGCAACTAATGGATGTGACTTTGTTAGAGGAAGAAAAATGAGCATGTGCCTTTAAGAGCTCTATGTCCCACTCTTCATGTCTTTCTCTAAGCCTCATGTGTTTGTTGGCATCAGCTGTCCTCCGAGCTGAAGAGAGCAAGGACATCTTTTCTTCCACGACTGTGGGATTAGGAGAAGAAGTGGCTTTCACACTCTGCAGGCTGTCATCTTAGCTTCAAGAGGACAAAACAAATTGGACATGACGGAGACCGAGAGGAGATAAAGACAAGTGAAAAGTTTGGATTGCAAAGCAGATTTTCTTTAAGTTTGCGAATGAAATGGATTAACAAGCCTGCAGATGCAGAAGACTCATCTTATCTAGTTTCCACCATAATGGAAGATCAGTCTTCTTCACAGTCTTCTTCACTGTCTTCAGGTGTGCAGTTTGCGTCTTGTCCTCCACAACCGGAGCAGAGCACCCGGCGGAGAATCGGCCGCTCCGAGGAGAGAGCTCCTTTTCCCATTCCTGGCCTTCCTGCAGACGTCCTGCACATGCGAGTGAAAGAAGGAAGCAAAATTCGCAATTTACTGCGGTTTGCAACTGCCCGCATGCAGGAGGAAGGACAGGACGGCAGTGCAGCTGCAGTGAGACAGGTGGTCTTCACAGGCCTGGGCAGGGGCATCACCAAGACCATCACCTGTGTGGAAATCCTGAAGCGCAAAGTGGCAGGGCTGCATCAGGTGTCCAAACTTTGCTACATGACAATTAATGAGTTTTGGGAAAGCACACCGCAGGAAGCGGCGACCACAGTCGTGGAGAGGACGGTGCCGGCCATCTGCATCCTGCTCTCCAAAGACCCGCTAGATCCCCTGGAGCCGGGCTACCAGCCTCCGCAAACCTTCAGCAGCCCCACAGAGGAAGAGGAGAGATGCGGGAATCTGCGAAGAACAGCTGGCAGGCCAAATTCACTGCACACTGCCAAGAGGCTCAGTCTGGATGATTGGACCAGATGTCCTCCTGAAACCTACAAAGTTTAGCTAAAAAGCCAGAAAATGTGCAATTACATGTTCCTTCTTCGCAGTGATGTTTGGCTGAAAAAAGTACTCGTGTTTTTTGTGAAGTAATTTATAGCGGTGCACCTATTTCTTTAATTTTGGGAGATTGGTGATCGGCCGATACTTTCATGTGAAGCCGATCATATCAACCAAATTTGCTGTCATTTTCTGGTCTGCTGTGACAGAGGTTTGACCCAACAGGTCATGTTTGCAGTCAACAATAGTCACTCCTCTGTTACCAACTCGACAAGTTTCTTGCTATATTTAGCGACATTTCAAACAAAAAAAGACTAAATTGGAATCGGCAGGTCAGGCCTTTTAAAGATCGGCAATCAGTGATCAGCCAGAGAACTGCAATCGGTGCACTCCCAGTAATTAGAAACTGTTTTAGGGCTGGACAATACGGCTGAAAAACATATCACAATATAAACATTTCATATCGGTCGATATCAATTATGATTATTTTTTTGTTTGAAATTGCTGTTTGACTAACTTATCAAATTGATATTAAATTAAGTAAATAAAAAACATCAAGTACAAAAGTGTAGCAAGGTGTATTCAAAAGTCAACTCTATTACAGTTTTGACTTTTTAAACTACTTTGAATAATTAATTGAGCTTTCTATACTGTTTGATAGCTAAAAAAGATCAAGATCAATTGAAATGTATATATAATTGAATTAAGGTTACATTTCTGTAAAGTGCCTGCAAACATTTATTGTGAATTGGAATTAAAGAAATACAACTGAATTGAATTCATTTATAATTTCAGTTTCGAGATTCATTTTCATCAGGTTCCGTTTTTGTATTGTAATAAAAAACTGTTGTTGTTTTATTTAAATATTAAGGGAGAAACATTTATATAAGTAACCTATAAAATTTGCTCCAAAAGGAAATTAGCATGGGCAGTACTGTACCTATCTACACAATACATTGTGTTGTCTCAAATGTATTAAATATATATATATATATATATATATATATATATATATATATATATATATATATATATATATATATATATATATATATATATATATATATATAGCTGACTGGATAGCTCAATACATAAGGCATCAGTATATCACCCGAGAGGGCAGGGTTCGAATCCAGTCTGGGTCCTTAGGCAAGACCCTTCAAGCTACTGCCTACCTCATACCATGAGAGATACTAAGTTGCGTAACATGCCGGCTCAGACGTCGCCCGGCCAAACAAGGTCTGCGTCAGGTGTTGGGGAACCAGAGCACCTTGATGACAAATGGGCTACTGGAACAAGACGGAAATGGGCGAGAGATGAAAATGTGGATCTGTTGGAATGCTACTACTCAAGTAACCCTAGTGAGAGAGGTTACATGCAAAGACTGGGGAAGGAATGGTTACTTCGACATCCCCAGTCAACACTAAGCGCTAAACAACTAGTAGCTCAGTGTTCCAACATCCGCAAACGGCAACTGCTATCACAACTTGATTGACGAGATACAACACAAATGCTACGGCAAAAGGGAGGAACCCGGATGTCAGGACTGTGGGGACTTAACTACAAGTCCCCACCCAGTGAGGGGATACACGGCCCCAATGAGCGAAACGAGACAGCTGCTGACCTGAGAGAGAGAATCATGACCGAATGACAACCAGGCCCCCCGGCGCCAATTACAACGGCTGAGTGAAGTACCATCTGAAAGTCTCATTGAGAATGTGAATGCAGCATTGAGAACGATCCCTACCAACACCATAACAGAAACCAATGAGCTGATCTACAACTCAGCATCAGTGATCCTTGAGATACTTGGCTATAAGAGCAACCATGAGACCCAATACCCACCATGGAAAAGACGGTTAGAGGCTAAAATCAAGGTAACAAGGAGGGAAGTGATCCTTGAGATACTTGGCTATAAGAGCAACCATGAGACCCAATACCCACCATGGAAAAGACGGTTAGAGGCTAAAATCAAGGTAACAAGGAGGGAAGTGAGCCAACTGTCAGAGCTCCACAAGGGTGCAATGAAAAGACCAGTACCCAGAAAGTACAGGCAGATGCCCATACCTGAAGCACTCGAGACTGCCAAACAGAGGCTCCAAGCCTTGTCCAGCCGCCTAAAGAGATACACAAGGGAGAATGAATCCAGAAGGATTAACCGGCTCTTCTCCACTCAACCAGCTAAGGTGTACTCTCAATGGCAGGGTAACAATAACAACAGAGCAGACCCACCAAGGCTGGAGACGGAACAATACTGGAAAGGCATATGGGAAAGGGAGGCGTCCCACAACAGCAATGCACAGTGGCTGATCTCTCTACGAGAGGACCACAGCAACCTCCCTGAGCAAGCCCCGGTAACCATCACTGTGACAGATGTCCAAGAAAGAGTCTCAGGTATGAAAAACTGGACAGCACCAGGGCCTGACATGATCCATGCCTACTGGCTAAAGAAACTCACTGCTCTCCATGAGCGAATGGCAGCCCAAATGAACCAGCTGCTACAAAGTGGGACTCACCCTGAATGGTTAACTGAAGGGCGGACAATCCTAATCCAGAAGGATCCATCAAAGGGTCCAGTCCCACCCAACTACCGACCAATAACCTGCCTCTCCACAACCTGGAAGCTCATGTCAGGCATCATAGCGGCCAAGATAAGCAAACACATGGATAAACACATGAGCACGGCACAGAAGGGTATCGGTGTAAATAGCAGAGGAGCCAAACACCAACTCCTCGTAGACCGCACAGTTGCCCGAGACTGCAAAACCCGACACACCAACCTGTGCATGGCTTGGATTGATTACAAGAAAGCCTATGACTCAATGCCGCATACTTGGATCATTGAATGCTTAGAGATGTATAACATCAACAGGACTCTGAGAGCCTTCATTGCAAACTCGATGAGGCTGTGGAAAACCACCCTTGAAGCCAACTGCAAACCACTTGCACAAGTGTCCATCAAATGTGGCATATACCAAGGAGATGCTCTGTCCCCGCTACTGTTCTGCATAGGCCTGAACCCCCCTCAGCCAAGTTATCAACAAGACTGGCTACGGATACAGACTCAAAAATGGGGCCAATATCAGTCACCTCCTCTACATGGATGACATCAAGCTGTACGCCAAGTGTGAGCGAGACATCGACTCACTGATCCACACCACCAGGATCTACAGCACTGACATTGGGATGTCATTCGGACTAGAGAAATGTGGTCGGCTGGTCACAAAGAGGGGGAAGGTCATCCACACAGAAGGGGTCTCACTCCCAGAAGGAACAATAGCAGACATAGAGGACAGTTACAAGTACCTAGGTATACCACAAGCAAATGGCAACCTCGATGAGGTCACAAGGAAAGGAGCCACAGCTAAATACCTCCAACGAATAAGGCAAGTCCTGAGAAGCCAGCTCAATGGCAAGAACAAAATCCGTGCGATAAACAGCTATGCCTTGCCAGTAATCAGATACCCTGCTGGAATAATTAGCTGGCCAAAGGAGGAGATAAAAGCCACAGATATTAAGACCAGAAAGCTACTAACAATGCATGGAGGGTTCCATCCCAAATCCAGCACCCTGAGACTGTACACGAGCCGCAAGGAAGGAGGCCGAGGACTAGTGAGTGTGAAAACCACTGTCCAGGACGAAACAACTAAGATCCATAAATACATCAGGGACAAAGCCTCAACAGACAATGTGCTCAGTGAATGTCTCAGACAACAGGGAACGGAGGTTGAGGTGCCAGAGATACCATCATGGGAGGACAAACCCCTACATGGGATGTACCACCAGCAAATAACCCAAGTGGCTGATATCAGTAAATCCTACCAATGGCTGGAAAAAGCTGGACTCAAGGACAGCACAGAGGCCCTCATCCTGGCAGCCCAGGAACAGGCCCTAAACACCAGAGCAATAGAGGCCCAGATCTACCACACCAGACAAGACCCAAGGTGTAGGTTGTGCAAGGAGGCCCCTGAGACAGTCCAGCACATCACAGCAGGGTGCAAGATACTGGCAGGGAAAGCGTACATGGAGCGACATAACCAAGTGGCAGGCATAGTGTACAGAAACATCTGTGCAGAATATGGACTGGAAACCCCAAGATCAAAGTGGGAAACACCCCCAAAGGTGGTGGAGAACGCCAGAGCTAAGATCCTGTGGGACTTCCAGATCCAGACAGACAAAATGGTAATGGCGAACCAACCAGACATTGTCGTAGTGGATAAACATCAGAGGAAAGCCGTTGTGGTAGATGTAGCAATACCAAGTGATTGCAACATCAGGAAAAAGGAGCACGAGAAACTAGAGAAATACCAGGGCCTCAGGGAGGAACTGGAGAGGGCCTGGAAGGTGAAGACCACAGTGGTGCCTGTGGTCATCAGGGCCCTCGGGGCAGTAACCCCCAAACTGGAGCAGTGGCTACAACAGATCCCAGGAACAACATCAGACATCTCAGTCCAGAAATGTGCAGTCCTTGGCACAGCCAAGATACTGCGCAGGACCCTCAAGCTCCCAGGCCTCTGGTAGAGGACCCGAGCTCAGAGGATAAGAACCACCTGCGGTGGGTGAGAAGGGAATTTTTATATATATATATATATATATATATATATATATATATATATATATATTTAAGAATTTATCATTATCAGTCAAGATTTTTTGTCCTTTTGTGGCTCGTGTGTAAGGTATTTGTAGAAACATTGTTAACCTTTTTGCGTGGCATTTCATGCCACTCGTGGCAGACCAAAACAGGTCAAGAGTGAGCTCCGCTTTGCACATGCGCAGAAGGATCTCACCTATTAGCTGGCGCCTGCCGTTGAGCCGCTTCCTCCGGATAATTCGCACCGGTTTGTCTCGCTGGCTGTGCCGCATCATGTTCAGAGCTGCCGTCCGACTGTCGGTCTCCGGTGTGCGGAGTTTAACTCGAACACAACCGAGGTGCCAAGGTATTGGTTTATTGTTTCTCTCTGAGAATTGAGTGTGAAGGTGTAGGGGCGAAGTTCATGCGGATA